CCCCCCCCCCCCCCCCCCCCATGAAAGTACTGGAATTGGGCGAGTGTAGTATTAGGTTTCATGGCTTAATAGTATCATATGATAGCTGTGGGATTAATAGGTTTCATTTCGTGTAGTTTTGACGACAATGTTGGCATAACCGGTGGAGTTAATTTTAAAGATACTTTGATGATACCACATGATAATCAGACAGGCAGGTGGATTTCTTCTTTCAGGTAAGTTTTGTAGCCCTGTCCTCTTTATCACTTCTTAATTTTTTTCGCTTTTTCATTTGCATCTTAAATTTACTTGGTGCGGTTCATCTAGCTCTACTCAATGAGACATTTTAAATTTACGTATGAATGGCTCAGTTTCACGTGATGTTCATATTGATATTCGAATCTTGCCAAAAGAATGAAAATGTCTCACTATTTTTTTTATTAAGCATCTTATTTTCTTATGTTAAATATGAAAATGTTTGATGCTCATGTCCTAGTATATGAATGATGGTACACTACAATTTTTTTTTAACACTGGGTTGCTAATCTTCTTACATGTAGCATATGTTGTAGTTCACGTATGAATTTTCTTGTGCCTGATCTCTTCAAAATGAATGATGATGCGCTGCATAAAGTTTCTGTAATTGGTGTTTTTTGGCTGGTTATCAAGTGTGGTTCTGAGAATGAAATATAAGCGATCTCGTTCTTTTAGTGATAATTTGCATATTGGACTCCAATTGTTAACGGCATCTGTTTATTTGGAAGCAGAGCAATTTGGGGTTGGGATGACTCGTACATTTTCATTGGAAATATGAAGCGAGCAGTAGACGTTATTTCACGGGCACAACGGAAGAAAGTCTTCGTTTTGCAGAGCCCCAACATATCTGCAATACCATGCAGGTTCGATGCACACCCTTACGATGTTGGAACGTTAGCAGGAGCCACGAGTGGGGGCCAGGTTTATATGTGGACAATGAGTCAAGATATTTAATTTGCTTCTACAGAGTTCTCGGGATAAGAATTTTGTACCATGAATTCCACCCAACAATCAAAACATACTTTCGGAGGAAGAAAAGGTAGCGTTATCTCTTCTTGCAATTGGATTTCGTGGGGAGAATCGTGTAAATGTTATGCAAATGTTATGCAAATTCTCTATAGCAAGGTCGACAAGTCACTTCATTTTTAAGTGGGTCTGTTCCCATTTGAATTGATTCCTAATTAGGAAGAAGCTTTAACTATTCATTACTTTCTTCCAAGAGATTAGTTCAGATGGGATTAGTTCTTCCTTGCATGAAAGCACAGCCTGTGCTGTTAGTTTCCCAAGCCAACCATGGTACAACAATCCCCTAGAACCAAGCCCTCCAAATAACCAGTACTTGCAAGAGCTGTTAGGTCTTACAATCTCGTCTATACAACCCATAAGAGGAAGAGATCCATGAGGAGTGAGTGGTGGCATTGCTCTAAGACCAGCCCTTGCTCTCCTGAAACTCCACTCCTTTATTGAGGGATAAATGGCAGACACCTTTGGTAAGAGTTCTGCAACCGCCCTTGAGCCCTCCTCTTCTGAAACTTCAGGTGATGAATTTGTTGATTTCCATTCCCATGTTGAACCCATATATAAACTTCTAGGACTCTGTATGGCTAGCCATGCATCTGACAGTATAGAAGGCCCAAGCTCTGGGTATGCATTGCTGAAATTTTAGTATTATACCAGATATCAGACTAACAGGATCAAGGAGTTTGAAGTTCAAATCTCGACCCCCGCACGGGTGCAAATTATGAATTTTTTGGAGGGATAATACATACTAAGCACAAAAAACCGATACCTGATATCGTCGGGAAGCTGAAAATGAGCTACTACACCTCTGCAAGTTCTCAAAGGAAGCTTTCCAGTAAGTTCAGGAAGCATGATCATTTTAGCACCAAGACAAACAATCACAGCATCGTATGTCCCTGCACAGAATGTTCTTTGAACAGTTTAATTCCAAGATAATGCTGAGAAGATTTGGCTTGAGAAATTTCACTTACCTTCTAGTTCACCCAGTTCCTTAATAGACTTTTTCTGCAAGAACAACTCCTTATGACCAAGACTTGAGGGTGATGTTTCCTTGGTCAGATTTTGACATGCTATAAACAGCGCCTATACATCAGATTGGGAACAAAAAAGATCAAAGATTTGTTTTAATCATAACAGATGGAAGAACAACTTAAGTATCATTTGCTTTGAAGTAGTGACCTCAAGATAACGTTGAGCGTTGATATTTACAGCTTGAGGCATATAAAAAGCTGTATTTAGAGGAATGTTAAGCTTAGGAACAAGATTCTGGGCAGCATCTCCATCGATTGTTTCGATTCTGCAGCTATCGAGTCCGTTCTGAGCATTCTGGGTAAATAACAAAGATACTATCAAGGTCGTTTTGACATTCTAATCAGAGTAATGTAACACAAATAGAAGGATATAATTACTTCTTTTAACATCATGAGATTCTTCAAGCTGATTGCAGGCCTCAAGATACCCCTGAAGTAAACAAAATACAGCAGAAGCATGTCAGGTGATGGGAATGAGTATATATCTCTCAGAAGCTAAAAGAAATGAAGTAACAGACCGTCTTAGAACAACGGATCCATTCATATTATGATATCCATCCAACTCTTTGGAGGGAAGTGCTGACTCCGCAACGCTTAAAAGCTTTAAGCACTCAGCCCAACACTCGGCACCTTTCCAGAGAGGTTTAACTGACATAATTTCAAGGGATTAGCCAATTTTTGCAAGGGAGATTGGGTAACTAAGTAGGTTGTTGGAACCTTTAGGAGAATAAGGGTGAAGAAGCCCTCCGGCGACTCCAGATGCTCCTCCACCAGTGCCAACTTCGTCATATATGTCGATAAGTAGAGATATGTCCTTAGGACAGAGCTGCAATAAACATAATATGATGAAGTGAAACATATATATCGAGCCTCACATTGGCAAGATAAGAAACCTCGAGATAAAACCCAAAATATATTAATTGGTAGCAGAAGCAAGATCAATCAACTTGAAGCATTAGAGGAAGTAGGAACCTCGGGAATCCATCCAGTTAATTACATTCATGAGTATGGGAGATCCATTGTTTAGATTTTTGGGCTCACTGCCTTAAGATAGAATATGTAGATGCAATGGCTACTAAGGTTCAATAGACCTTGGATTAGGGCTGATAAAATGAGGGAACATATTTCAAGAGCGTATGTCATCGAGCAGTCATAAATCATAAAGTTCACAAACACTTGAATTTCAAAGAGAGTTACAAATTACCCATAATTTAGATTAAGATTCAAAATCTAGATTCGGCACTTGATGGCCCTGACGTTCTCCTGCGACAATGTCAAATTACCTATTTAGTTCTAAGAGTGAAAGATTGTTCCCACCAACTAAGTGGGTTTTTTCAACTTGTTTTGTCATCTCGAAAATATTCAGTAGGTCGCACAACAAGTCTGCTTAACTTTGAAATTCTTATGGTTGAGCCACCGAAAAGTAAGGTGCATTTGTCTGTATAGTAACTTTTAATTTTTGAAAGTCTTTTTTAGCGCTCTTATTCTCGAGATCATTCTCATTTGGATATATCATTGATTCATTCACGTACCCTTCTAATCGAGTATCACAAAGTTCAATACACAAAAACCACAGTCCAACATCCCAAAAAAAAAAAAAAAAGGATTGAAGAAGAAAACAGTGTATGCAGCAGCCTAAGCAAGGTGTTGATGTATGATGAAACGAAGAGGAAAAAGAAAGCCACAGAGCCGGCGTACCTTCAACAAATGCCAAGTAACTGAAAGCCCAGCAAAACCAGCTCCAAGCACTGCGTACCTACAAAAGGATACCCCTCTCTGAGTACATACATATACATTTCGCAAAGGAACTCAGAAACGCACATTAATTAGGTAAAGAAAAGGTTGAAGAAGAACCTCAGAGGACGCGCCGAGAGAGAAGAAAGTGCTAACGACGGCGCGGCGGAGTGAACCGCCGAAGCTCGACACACACACACCATAATCGATCCTCTGTTCGATATCTTTTTGAAAATATAGCGTTTTATATTTTCATTCAAATAAATAATTCCCGACCAAGACCTGCCTCGACCTTTTTATGTACACACCCATTTTTTCTTTTTTTCCCCCAAATTTATTATTATTATTTTATTTTATTTTATTTTTATAACATTATTTTCTTTAAAAAAATTAATTCAATTCAATTTTTTTATATGAACTTCCAAAAATCTTAAAAGTTCTAATTTGTAATTTTGAATTTAACCCAAAATAAAAAATAATAAAAATAAAAATAAAAATAAAACAAGGTTCGTTATAATTACAAAAATAACCTTTTCTTCGTAAGTATTCCATAAAACAATGATTAAAAATGTTTATTCCAAACCTAAAACAAAAGGTTGTAACCCATTTGAATATCATCAGTTACCATTTTAAAAGTCGACGGTCTAATCCTTGTCGACACCTAACGTCATAATTCCAAAAACGGCACAAAAAGAAGGGTTTTTTTTTTTGGGACAATTTAGGTTAATTGCTTTCATATTAATCTCAAACAATGGGGAACCCCAAAAGTATGTCCAGAACTTACATCTTACAAGGCAGAATAAATGGATAAATTAGAGAGTCCTCGCTCAGAGTTGATAAAATAGACAACTTTTCTGTACAATCTTTATGGCTCTATTCATATGTTGTATGCTACCACAGTTGCACATTAGCTATCCACAGGGAATGCCTTTCACCAATCAATCTGTGTCACCCAAGTACCTTTCCTTCTTCAAGTACCAAAGAGCTGCTTCTGCTGCATGCTCCGCTGCCGCCTTCTTCGTCAAATGTGGTGCTCCGAAGAACTCGAAAATCGTATCGGGGGCTTCTTCTATCTCCAACACAACCTTGTATGTGAACCTGCAAAAAGATTGGACCATATTCAGACTTCCTGCTTTTAAGAATATTCCCAGATTGTGAGGACTCACATCTTTAAATGGCTTGGTCCTTCCTCATTCATGCAGTTAAATGAAGGGTGATTCCAATGGTTTATGGCACAAACTTCATGCAGACGAGATCTTGCCGTTGTTTTCCCCGACCGACCTAAAAAGACCACCGCGCATTACAAAATAATTCAACACATAAGAATAGTAGCTGCCACGGTGCCTACCTGACGATGACGATGATGACGATGACGACGACGACGACGACAGCAAGTCTGTTGAACTATCATGACCTTCAAGGGGGATGCTAGGCTTCAGCTGTTCTCCTGCAGCTCCAGATGAAGAAGCCAGCGTTTCACTCATCCGTGTAATACGAAATGGATGAGAATTCCCAACTTCATGGTGCACACGAGGATCTAAGTCTGCACCAGAAAATTCTAAGCCATCGTCGATTTGATCCATCGTGACCGAGGGCGTTTCATCATAACCAATCAATTTAGGTTTCATCTTCTCGCTCGACTTTAAAATCTTCTCTAATGAATTCACCTCAGGTATGAATCCTTGAGCCTGCAGCAGAATGTTAAGAAAATTGCTAAAACCATAGATTCATGTGATAGAAAGGCATGTATATTTAAACTCATATCCACCTTCAACTTCGTGAGTATAGAGTTGGCAGCGATTTTCTCGGCGTCTTTCTTTCGACGGTTGACAGCAGAAGCCGTGGCATGAAAGTCGTCCCCTTTCACCTCTGCTTCAACCGAGTAATATTTTTCCATTTTCGATGGATTAAACTGAAGTTTCCAGCCACAATTTTGACAAACTTCGATTATGTCGCGAATAGGACTAAGCTGGAAGCCTGAAGAGCTCATGATAGGATCCAGAAATGATAACATTATCTTCCAGACATAGTTCATATCAAACCCTGTATCAACAAGAACGGCCCCAACACTAGACTCCACCAAGTCTCCCAAAGGCTGCAAGCAATGTAAGATGCAGCATTCAAATGAGGGAACAAACGAAAGTAGTCCACATAATGTTGTCGTTGAATTGTATATCTAATACCTTTGGACATCTCGGCTGCTCGAGCGAATCTCTTTCCGAAGGAAGTGATTTGATGAAGTCTACATAACTTTTTATATCACTTTGAAGGCTAGCAGAATCACAAAGCAGAAACTTGTAGAAGAATCGATCGACCGCAACGTTGGCAAAAGCTTCGTTCCTCACAAACACTGATCTCAAATCCGTCAATAGACCCGGCTTCAGCTTAGGATATGCTGAATATAGATACGACATGATCAAGTAATCCAGGACGGCGTCCCCAAGAAACTCTAATCTCTGTTCAAACCCATAGCAAAGATCAACAAAATGGCAATGTTAAGAACAAATTCGAGGTGGAAAAAGAGAAAGTTCATACCTGGTAACAACCTCCTCCGTGCTTGTGGTAAGTCGGATGTACGAGCGCCTGCAGCAACAGACCTTTATGGAGAAATTTATAGCCTAATGAGCTTTGAAGTGCAGAAATGTTTATAGTATCTGCAAGTAGGACGTAAGCCTTGCTTGCCACGAGAGCATTGGTAACCTGCGAAGCTTCGAATTCTACTTTTATGCCGATCCATTTGAGAAATGCAATTGCAGCTTTGAAGCCACTGTCGACTAGGAATGCTCCTACCAGAGCTTCGACCACATCGCTGATCGTTTTCTTCTGTAACCAGTGATGGCCTTTGCTGCACTTGGTCTCACTAGCTTTTGCATTATTTGTTGCATTATCGTGAGAATGGATATCGTTTCGTGTTTCCTCGTTACAAATTCTTGGGCAAGGACGACCAAGTAAATAAAATTGGCTAGGTTCAAATGGCTGGTCACGTATGTATACCTGAAACAAGAAATGATACTTGCACTGATATTATGATCCATTGAATGTGGGTATCAAATGCCAACTTCTATCAAAAATGATATCAACATCTATTGATCAATCTCAGGATATATCATACCTGTAAATTCTTTCTAGTTGCTAGCTTGAACAAATTGATATTTTTCACCAAATAAGAACGTCGTCGTGTAAGTTCTCCTTCATCGAACTTATCGTGGGCGAGAAAAAGGTACCTTGCTACGGCAAATTTAAGGAAAGAGTCACCAAGTATTTCAAGCCTTTCCAGGGAAATTCGTTCCTGGCACTTCTCAGTGGTGAGAGCTTCTAGAATCTAATAAGAAAACTCATAGCTATTAAAGGCATGAAATGAATCACAATGTGTACAGAAATTCAAAGTGCAAGACAGAGCAACCCACTCTGTTAGCAGTAACCTCAGCTCCTGCTGGAAAACCAGCCGCTAGCATACACTTCAATTCAATAGCAACAAGCAAATTTTCTAGACGATGCATAATTGATGGCAACAAAGATATAGAGCTCCCGATGTCTTTCGAAAATCCAGTTATCTTCAATTGACAAAGCTCGGGAGCGATATCGATAAAATATTCTTCCAGATAAGGTGCTTCTGCATCAAGTTATAGACCTTGTAAATTGTAAATCATTATGTAGCAAGTATGGCTATCGAAGTTACTCGTATACCGCAGGTGAAGTATTAAAAAGAAACTTTAATATTGAGCATTGACTGAACAACGAAACAAAATGTAACGACCCAGGTCCACCGTTAGCCTTTGGGCTTCCCCTCAAGGTTTTTTAAAACGCGTCTGCTAGAGAGAGGTTTCCACACCCTCATAAAGGGTGTTTCGTTCTCCTCCCCAACCAATGTGGGATCTCACAATCCACCCCCCTTCAAGGTCCAGCGTCCTCACTGGCACTCGTTCCTTTCTACAATCGATGTGGGGCCCCCACCAAATCCACCCCCTTCAGGACCCAGTGTCCTTGCTGGCACAACGCCTCGTGTCTACCCCCTTCAGGGAACGGCCTTCTCACTGGCACATCGCCCGGTGTCTGGCTCTGATACCATTTATAACGACCCAAGTCCACCGCTAGCAGATATTGTCCTCTTTGGGCTTTCCCTTTCGAGCTTCCCCTCAAGATTTTTAAAACGTGTCTGCTAGGGAGAGGTTTTCACACCCTTATAAGGGTGCTTCGTTCTCCTCCCCAACCGATATGAGATCTCACACAAAAGATGTCGAAGTAATTACAGAAATGAAAACTCGATCCGACTCTTCCAGCACCTGTATCCAGCCAACTTAATCTAAAATTACTAGTACAGGTAGCAAAAGAACTAAGAACATTACCAGAATCTTTCTGCTTTCTATCATGTAGCAAGTTGTGCAAACTGAATAGGGGTTTTGCACAAAGAAGAGGCTGCTCAGGGTATTTAAGTTGAATGCCAAACCTGATCACAACATTCATACAGAAAGTTTATAAATGTAATACAAATAAGCACTAATAAAGATATCGGAATATTAGAGTAAATTAGAGAGAACCAAGGTACTGCATAGAAACCTACCTGGTCTTTAAATGCTCAAAATGACTCAAGGACCCTGAGTCCTTGTATTGGCTGTATCCATTCTTCCTCCTCACAATGTTAGTAACAAAAAAGAATTCACGCTTGTAGGGGACGTACACTAAACTATTCTCGATATCACTCGACCTTCTACGGCCATCATAAAGGATCAAATGGGTATCCGAGGAAGCAGTTTCTTTGACGATAGAGCATGCATGATTCTGGAAAATTTGGGAGGATAAACATCTTCTAATAACTTTCCAATCTATGAAAACCGATCCCTCAATATCGTGGACAATCACAGGAAGCAACAAGTAAGATGTCGATGAAATAGATCTAGAGACATTATTCCTCAATGGAATGTAGTCGTGAACAAATTCTGATCTGTCTAAAATGACCTTAAGAAACATCTCCTGAAAACACTCAGCCTGGGTAATCTGACAAGCATAGGTACATAGGGTAAATTTGAAAATTATAAGAGAACAATTTAATCCAGAGTCAGTAGATGAACCCATTTACCTCATTCTCCATAAGCTCGACGACCCTTGATGGCATCAAATTTACCTTTACAGATCTTCCATGTGCAAGATGAAGCTCAAGGTCCATTCTCACAGCCTCCTGGGGAAGTGGTGCCTTCACAAATAACCCAAATTCTTTGTAGATCCTATCTTCAGGATTTGGAGTAAATTTAATATGGTAACAGTAAAGAATAACATATCCAAAGCCAGTCCAAGACTCTTTGAAAGCAGCAGGAGATATCATCTCATGAAGCTCCCGTCGCGAAGTCTCATCTGCAACCATGCTCACAAATATCAACCAAGACCCATAAAAATAAAATTAAAAATCAGGGAGTTACTCAAGTGAACCTTCGGAGCTGTCAGAATCAGAGTCAAGTTCTAATTCCCCTTCATTGGCATTGTCTCTCATGGGCAAGAGATAGTCACTGAGAGCACCAAGTTTATGCAATTCCTCTACAGCTTTTAGACAAGCATCCTTTTTAGCAGCAACCCCAGAAGGCTGTGGTCTGCTGACAATTTGGGGGATCGGTGCATTGGAGGGCAGAATTGCATGACATATAGTTCCTCCTAAATCATCACAATAGAAAAACTTCGGCTTGGGGTCGAAGTACCTGTTTGTACAAGAATATCATGAAAGATTATATATTATTAAGATAAATTAAGCCCACTATATGAAATTAAAGTAATTGAATGTGTTAGAGAAAGCTTCGCTTACGTGTCATGTGGAAGTTTTGAGCAATATTCATGTAGTAAAGATATACTTCTTCCAGAAGTGACAGACGCACCAGTTGAAATCACTCTATAGATGCTTTCTTCATGACCATCAAATGTCTCAACGGATGAGCGAGAAGAAATTTCTCTGTTCATCCGTTTTTCATCTTTATGAAACTCATCTATCAACCCTAGCTCCTTTTCATTTCCACTGAGAAACAGAAGAATTTGATCAACTAAAGAATCTTTTGAAACAATAATTGGTTGTAATTTAAATAAAGATAAGAACAGGACCTATCAACAAGGAAGGCATATTCAGACTGAGGCATTCGTGCTCGACCTCTTGATTGTATAAAGCTAGATACTGTTTCAGGAAGATCAAATCGTATCACAAGACAGCAGGTCTGAATATCAAGCCCTTCTTCACCAACCTTCGTTGCAATCAAAAGGTTTAGCTGCCAAGCAATTAGCCACAAGGATTAATCATAAAATTCAACTCTTTGAAGTTCAAAATAACCATTAGCTTCCTACATACTCAATTAGTTTATGATTACTTTTTAACTTCAAAGAGTTGAGTTTTATCATAAAAGTCATTAGTGTACTAAGGTGGTAGAGGAGATTCAGGACATTCATAGTCAGAGAGTCAAGGACATACTGTATCAACTGAATTGATGATTTAATTTTCAATCAACTAGTTGGGTGCGTGACAACGTACCTCTCCTGATCGGAATTTTGTAAGAATATGGTTCATGGTCTTCCTTGACATGCTCCTCAACTTTGAGTGGACTCCGACGAGAAAATCACACTTCCAATATGCCAGAAATTTGAGGTTCTGAAGTATGTACGACAAGGACCTAGCTATAACTATTCTATTCACAAAAATTATACACTTCATGTTGGGTCGATGCCTGAAATGACGAAACAGAGAAAATAGCATGTTTTAGCAAGCTTTACAAGAAATCCACTTTCTTGAATACAAATTAAAGATATGCAAAAGACATAAGCTGTGCAGATCTGCCAGAAAGATCCAGCCACCTCCTTATACTTGTGTATATACGTATGCAGCTATAGGTTGTGTTATCAATAGCATTACAGTATACAAATTTGTTCATAAACAAAATCCCTTTGTAACACATAATAATCAATATTCAACGTAACAACCTCGATACATATATATTCTGCAAATGAGCAGCGACTGTTCTCCAATTCTCTTCAACCTACTTGGGTCTTTATATATATTCCAAAAGGGGGTTACATCTCTCTCTCTCTCTTTTTCGAGGGAGAGTACAATTCTCACATAGTCGTGCATTCCTCTCACTTCCACAAAGACAATAATAAAACATAAAAGTAATGGTAGACAGTAAAAGATTTCAATTCTAACCTGAAGGAAGAAAGAATTCCAATAAGCCGTAAAAGCTTCTTTGAGAAACATGGCTCTTTCAAAATATCAACATTTAACATATCTGACACCCCAGCATCTACAAAAGGGTCGCAAATATCTCAGTTAAGGGAGCACAAATGTCGTCATGATATATTAGTGTTGACAGTACTGGTCCACCGAATTGTCGAATGGAGCATAAGATCAACAGAATGAGAATAATAGCTATAAATCAGAGAGGAACCAAAATCTAATCTACTCCAAAAGAAATTTGAAGTACCTATCTTGCAACCCGATGCGAAAATTTCAGCAGCTTGATTAAGATATCTATCACTTATGGAGTCATGTTTTGGGTTTGCCGCTGCTGCCTCTATCAATTCACTTCGCTCAGAGTTATCTTCACTTAAGAGAATTTTACTGGCCTAAGAAAACAGATAAGAAAAGATCAATAAGTAAAGCTAACATGAAGACAGATAAAATTGTATGTGTCAAACGAACAGAAAAGGATCAACAGAAATTTTCCATAAAGAATCACTCATCATTTTGTTAGATATCAAAAGATGAACCTTATTTATACCACCATAGAAAACTTCACGTTAGTCTCTTTCGTTCCATCACCCGCCTCCCACTCCCAACAAGGACAAAGGAAAGAAATATGTGAATTTGAGTAAAAAGTTGTCTACTAAAGCAATGTAGATTTGCTACCCCCATCTCACCAAAAACAAAGAAGTAAAATAAAACTTCTATTATAGATAGAGCTTTTTAACCTCTTTCTATAAGCTCCTCCCACAAAAACAAACAAACAAACAAACAAAAAGTTAACACAAACATCGAGTACAGGAAATATATGTATAACAAAATAGGGAAATAAGAAGGCAGTAAGATGCTGAAAAGTTTTACCTGCAATGCCCCCCAAACACCAAGGTTTTCCAAACAAAATATGATATTTTTGTGCATCCTGCACAACAGTTTCTTGGTGGCCAGCAGTCCTTCGTGTTCACCTTTCATCTGACCAAGAGCCACTATACACTGCTCTCTCCCAAGAAAAGGAAGAAGTGAAACTCTATCTAGATAACGAAGTTGTTACAAAGATTAATTGCCGAAATACCTGGCATTTCACGTCCTCAAGTGGGCAACAGTAAGTCATAAATGAGCTAGACGACCCAGTTGCAACAGGACCATAATAATAGATTTTAAAACGTGGTGATGACACAAACGCTTCCAGTTCTTCCCTATCTTCAACTGAATAAACCTACGAAAGGAAGGTCGATTTCTATTTTTACATCATGCTCAACCATCCACTAAATTTAAACACAAAGCATAGTTTTTTTTCCCTTGACTTTATGAACAGTTCTAATACTGTAGTACTGCATCAGGGTAATATAAGTTCATATGCCCAGGAGAAATCCAAAACTGATCATATAAGAAATTTTTTGGAAAATGTTTGATTGGAACTTGTTATTTCAAATATATGTTTGCTCAAATTTTAGGTGTTTTGAGGAAATTTACTATTCCAATGGGATTAGTTTTTAAATTTGACACGTGAAACGAGAACTGCACAGGACTGTGCTTGATCTATGAATCCTTGATTCCTTGGAAATATTCTTTTTTAAAGAAAAAGATGTCCACTTGATTAACCTTCGTTTATTTTACACAAGTAGAATTTTTTCTGACCTTACATTGTAATTATTTCTTTTGGATTCATTTACTACACTGTAGTATTTACGATTTTCTATATGAAAATTACTGTCTCCTTATCAAAATAACAACACCACCAGTGTTCCTGATTTTTTTTTTTTTTTTTTTTTTTTTTTTTTTTTTTTTTTTTTTTTTTTTTTTTTTTTTTTTTTTTTTTTTTTTTTTTTTTTTTTTTT